ACCATAACAATTACAGACCCTTCATTTCTTTGTAAGTGGGCAAACTTACAAAATCAGCAGGGGATGAAATAAATATTTTCGTGTGTGTATATATATATATATATATAGGATATATATATATATATATGTGTGTGTGTGAGAAGAGAGAGAGAGAGAGTGGCGTAACAAAAAAAATGCATTGTCAAGGCTGCTTGTATTTCTCTGACACTAAGCAGAATGACAATTTCTGTTATCACGCCAGCAGGCACAATTATTAATCAGCCTACCACTAATCTGAACTAACACATTTAATGAGCTTTAACATTCTTTGAAAACACCATTTCCCGCCCTTTATTCTCATGCAGACACCCACAGCAGAATGAAAAATGACTGAGTTTTAAAGTGATGGAGCCAAACCTTGTCACAACAAATAGGGCCTTGTGCTCATCTATACAAACGCATAAGGGCAGCAAGACCACAGTCTGTATTTGAGTGAAGGAGGTGTTTAATATCTCCCAAAATCACTGGGCGTTTAGGTATGCCTCAAGAATGATTTTATGGCCTGGGCCTCATCTGGTATCATTACACCAAACATAAATAACAGCTGTAAATGTTTCATATGGATGCAGTGGGGTGCTCAGACACCAAAGTGACAATCTAATCTATATATGAGAAAACAGTTTAAATCATCTTTTGAAGCTACATTATCTGAGAATGATCAGCCTTCCTTGAAAAAAAAAAATCTAGTTTTAAATGGGTCATCTAATAAATGGCAAACTATTCTCCATGCATGTAGTAGTAGTTGTTCAAAACTCTATATCACAAATGCAAATAATCAATATTGCTGTTCTCAGCCCAAATTACTCCACTGATCATTTAGCTTTAAAATTACTTTTTTCAGACTAAGAATAATGTATTAATACTTCAGAAATAACCATAAACAGAATATCCTACAGTCCAAACAGAAGCTGCTGTCCATTTCAGATAGAAGCATGTGACATCACTTTCTGCATTGTGCTAATTTGCTAAGTATCAAACAGGCTAATTAATGAACTATTACTTAATAGAATTTTTTAATGCAACTATTAATTAAAGCAGTCTTTTCTCATTTCCACCGTTTTACAAAAGCTACAATACATTCAATGTTGTGCATTACAGTTTTTCCCTCAGTTAAGAAATTTAGAAATCATGAACTTCCCTTTCCTGTGGGGTAAAACTACTAATGCACAGCCTCTAGTGGGTAATTATTTTAAAGTGCCAATATTTAGGGGGGGAAAAAAAACTTTGTGAAAAACACAACTAACCCCCATTACTTATCGGGCAGTCTAACACGTTCCAGCCCTCCACATGCTAGTGAACTCTTCCACATGCCGGATTATCCGGGTTAGAGATTACTTTACATGAGGTTGTTATAAATCCTGCATGTTTTTTCCTCCTCACAGAGAAGGATTTATATTTGCCAAAGTGCATTTGGAGCAAATGATGGGCAATTGTTAAAAAAAAACAAAAAAAAAACAATACCAAAAAAGGGATAATTTTATTTTCTGAGACATTTTTTTCTTTTCATATCTCGCAATTTCGACTTTGAGAATTGAGAGGAAAAAAAGTCATGATTGTGAGATATAAACTCAGAACTGTGAGATAAGTCAAAATTATATATATATATATATATATATATATAATTATTATTTTTTTTAATCCTGGGAGGAAACAAGCTTCCATAATACTACTATAATGAGATTTAATAGAAATAAATGCATGAATGTATCACTGCGCCAAAAAAAACGCTCCTAAAAAGTCATGTTTTATGAATTTGAAAGATTCATCCACTCTTAAAATTCAAACACAAACCAGAGGAATCGCTAGAACTGAAACAGAAAGCAGTCTTACAAAAACAAACCCACTTTATTTAGACAGTGTTCAGGTCTCAGAATCAATGTGCCGGGTAAAAATGAAAAGAGAAAGCTACAAACTTCCAAGAACAGCGATAACTGAGTCTACACAAACTTTATTTTCTTAAAAATACATTACCATAAAATAAAAAGCAATAAAAGATATATATGGAGATCGGGGAGGGCAGGGTTTCACCCCATTTTTCGGTGATATACAGCCTGGAAAGTTTTGGAAGAGGAAATGCGCGTGTATCTGTGTGTCTGTGTGTGTGTGTGTGTGTGTGTAGTGTAGTGGGGTGACCTGAGGAGGACAGCCTCCACACAGCAGTAATGCAGCAGTCACATGGGCACACACAAAGAAAAGAGAGAAAAGAGAGAGGAGAGAGAACAGCCATAACAGGAAAAGAGAAGGAGAGAAGAGAGGTAGTAAAGTGAGAGAGGTAGAGCGAGGCAGGGCAGCTACTCTGTCAGCACCTAAGGGAGGAGCACAAAAGGCCAGCTACACCTAAGATAAGCAAAGTTCCTCCATCACTTCAGTGTGATACCATATACACCTCCGTTTGCATTCTCCGAGAGAACAAAACAGAGGTCTTTAATGTGTGTTTGTACATCTGCACAGTATCTGAAGCGAACAAAGGTTAATGCGTGTGTGGGTACATCTCTAAAAACAGCAGTCTGGTGTGCTCTCGTTCGGGGATACAGTACTCGGGACGCGTTTAGGACAGCGGAGCACTCGTGGCGGTGTGAGTTACGGTCTCTCATTGATCTCTGGGTCACAGCGTGGCTGACCAAGCAGAGTACCATAAAGCAAATCTGCTTCACACACCATGCACAGATTGAATACAATTGCACCGGTGAGGTAGATTATCAGCTAGATGTGCTCAAGGAAGGAAGCCACCGGGAACCCTGCTGAAATGGATACCGCACCACAAACACGTAAGGCAGTGGAAAGGTTCTCTGCGCGCCACAGGACTCCAGAGGAGACGTGACACTGCAGACCGGCTCGTAGCTACAGTGTGATTTCGATCTTAAGAGTGATTAGCTTACGTGGATTAGCACAATATACACATATGATTCCATCAGTCACATTACAGGGAAGAGCCGGA